TAGGGAAATAGCTGAATAACTTCCAGAAGAAAAAAAGCCACACTCATTTCTAGGGAAAAATTAAAATGCTCATTTCAGGGAAGTGCCTGAAAAAGTGATTACAAGGGAATTGCACCCAAATCAGAAACATAAAATACCTTCACATCTTAGCTGCCTCCTTTACTATTTTAGTTTGAGCATCTGACCGACTTTATTTATGACATTGTTCCTGTTTCTTGATGCCATTTTTAATCTGTTGAAAACAGTGTGGAAATAAACCATTACTCTTTGAAATAAATTGTCTGAATATGTCTGAGTATTCATGTGGTGAATTTAGACACAGAAGATAAAATCATGGAAGATAAAATCCACAGAATCAGTGGAACTGAGTATTTCAGCTTAATGTGACTTTCCCTGTGGCTAAAAAAGGGGAGACAAATGGACATGGATATTCTTTATTTAAACAGGAACGTTTAATTTTTTGTCTTCATGTTCTCCCTAAGTTCATTATCACATATAAGACAAGAATAGACAGCGTTAGCCCAACAGGAATTGTTTTTCCATCTTATTTTTTAACTTGGCAGCCTAAGATACCATCTTATTGCCAAAAGACCTCAAGGGAGCCTCTGGAGCATATTTTGCACTCTTGCAATTAAATTGAGAGAGCGAGGACACTGATTCATTAACAAAAATACTGTTTACCCTCAGAGCTTCTGTTGAAATGAGCATTTAATTGAGAGAGACTAAACTCTAGGACTTGCTTAAATTTTTCAGTCTGGTGAAAAACGGTTACATTTAAGAATGAGACTTGTTTTCATCACTTCTTCTAGCTCAAGAAAACTTGCTTGGGATAGTTTTGCCAAAGTTGTTTTTTTAAAAGTGGGGAGGTGGGAGGTGGGATGGGGTTGAAGTACAGGATGGGTTAAAAAAAAAAAAGCATCTGTAAATTAAAAACTGCAGTGAGCTGTGAGATACAGCATTTGGTAAAAGCACCCCAATCACACAACAGAAAATTCTTGTGACTCCCTTTGAAAATAATGCTTTTTCCCTCCACTTTTGTTCTAGCATCCTCTCAACACTTAACACAGAAAAAAAGTTCAGTTGCACCATCAGAAAGTACTGTTCAAAGAACAGGTAAATCTTGCTTTGGAAAAGCAGAATATAGGTGAACTAAAGTCTTTATAATGCATATTTAATTGTCACTAATGTGCTTGGTGTTTTTAATTATTTGTGCTTCTGGGGATTATTTTCTTTGTAGGCTATGTTGTTCTTTAGAAGTCTCCAAAGGCTCGTTAGAGATTCAGGATGGGATCAAATAAAAAGAATAAGAATAAAAAGAATCAGGTAGTTGTAAGCAGGAGGGACTGGATTTGTGATTATGTGTTCGAGTTTTGAAGTTTTGTTAGGAGCAAAGAGGAGCTTTTCTTTTATATGGGACACTTCTGAAAAGATTTTCAAAAGCCATGCTGGGGATGTAAGCTGTGGAGTTGTAGTCCCTTTTTTGTTTATGTTCAGCTTTTAATGAACTCTCAGCAGTATTTCAAGGATGGAGCCCTAGCAGGCAACCATCAGTTCTGGGGCGTTTAAAAAAACTAATTTCCCAGATGAGTAGGGAAAATGGATAGACATTTTAGAGATGCCACTCTGCATCCATTTGCCATCTCTGGTATGAGCAGAAGTAGCTCTTTCAGAAAGTAAAATGTGCTGAATTGCTTTCTTCAAGTTTCCTCTTGAACAAAAATCTTCCTGCACCATCTCGAGGTACATCTGACTGCCCCAGTGCTGATGTGGCTGGGTTAGGAGGTCCTGCTGATGGTATAGATGTTTACTCTTGTATATATATATATATCTATATGGGTAGGAAGAAAAATAACTCTCCTTATGTCGCTTAGTCTGTTTTTTTGTTACCAATACACCCAGAATGTGCTGTATGCATTTACACTGAAGAGCTAGATGTTCCAAAAAGACAAATTGTGAGGGGAATAAGGAAACAAGTATTAGCCGTTTTCTTACTTTTTTTACACCTTTATTCCTTGTGGACACTCTAACAGACTTTACTAAATTGATCTTAAAGGCAAAGCCACAGTTCTGTGCAGCACTGGGTTGCAGGGCGGTTAAGGGTGAGATGGAGAACACCAAGGGCAATGGGACACACCATGGATATGGGTTAAGACATTATAATGGTGGTCCCTGAAGAAGTGGCAGTTCCTTATGAGAGGGGCTGTGTTTAGTATAGATGCTCCCTCTCAACAAAGGATCTTAAAACTGGAAGAGGGAAGTTTTAGACATTAGAAGAAAGTTCTTTGCTGTGAGGGTGGTGAGAGACTGGCTCAGGTTTCCTAGAGAAGCTGTGGCTTCCATCCCTGGAAGTCTTCAAGACCAGGTTGGATGGGGCTTGGAGAAACTGGTCTGGTGGGAGGTGTCCCTGCCCATGCAGGGGGCTGGATCTAGAAGATCTTTGAGGTCCCTTCCAACCCAAACCAGTCTGCGTTTCTCTTACATGGTAGATATAGGGAGAATGAAAAGAGGGGCAGTAAAAAGCTTAGAAACCTTAGATGATGAAAAGGAAATCTGATCTGTATGTATAAAATGACTATGAGAGAGAGAAAGGAAGACTTCCCTTTACATCACCTCCTGAGAGATTTTTGTTTCCCAATTCAGTAGAAGTACAATGCAGCAGAAATACAATTCAGCTTCAGACAATTGTCTTCCTTTGCCTGAGGAGATATTGCTGGGAGAGTTGGTTGGGTTAAGGCAAAATTGTACATGCAGAATAGAAACAATATTTTATTAGTTGAAAACAAATAAAAATCTAGAAGTTTTAGAAGAAATAAATGGAAGTTAAAAAAAGGGAGGAGACTGTTGCCCATGTCAGGAAGTTTCTCTACAGTTTTGTCCTGTGAGGTTCCTCTCAGTTTTGCTGTGTCTCAGCTGATCCAGGCTGTAACCAGGCCCAGCACCCGGTGATGGGGGGCTCTGGTACTTCAGCTTGCTCTGCTGTGAGAGGAACCAGTGAGGAGAGAAGCTTGTTCTTCTGAGCTAATATGTGATGAGAGAGATGTGAGCTAGTCATGCCTTGTCCGTGGGTATGTGCTGCTACAGCAGACTTAAAAATTATCTTTTTCTTTTGTAGAGCTTGAAACAAATGCTCCAGTAGTTGCTGGTCAAAGGTAAGGAGATAGTTTGTGTAGATTCAGAATAGATACAGCTTTCATGGGAGGAAGCCCCTTTCTCTTTGCTTCCATCACACTTCTGCTGCTGTTTTTCACTTTCTTGTCCATACCCTTTCTGTCCTGCTAAGAAATGGAGCTAGCTGAATGTTTCAAAACAGTGCTGAAATGCAGATTGGAAGGGAACTTTGTCTCAAGTCTGTCTTTGTGCTCTGGGCAGCATTTCCTCTTACCCTGTCAGACCTAAGTGTTTCCAATCATGGAGGGGCCCTGATGGTTCCACTGTTCAGTATTTTCTAAAAAGAATTCAAAACTAAAACTTCCAAAGCCTGCAGCTTAGCTCTCATGTGAATTTTTTATTTTCTTGAAAGCAGGCCTTTCCAAAGTATGTTCTTCTTGTACCTTTATGACTGTTTTGCCCAGATTTCCTCTGTATTTGCTTGTTGACACTGCCAAAACCTGATAGGAGGGTCAGGTAGAAGCTTCATCTTGTCCCAGTGAAGGCATTCAGTAATTAAAATATCAAATTTCAAATGGTCTTGTTCTGTCAGAAGAAAATGTGGTTTTCAAGATCTAATTCTGTTAAGATTCTAAACCCACCAGGCTCTAAAGTCAGTCTAGGCAGCTGTATGACAAGCCTTGGGAAGGTTTTTGGTTACTACTGGCAGGATAGGCTGGGTTTTGATGCTGCCCTCAGCAGGGGTTAATCAAAATTTAATATTTAACTCTATTTGCCTTCACATGGATTGGGGTCTTTCTGGTTGTATTAAAGACAAACTGAAGTTCAGAAGGTTGTTTTTTTAGGGTAGGATTTTTCTAAAAAGCTTCATGTGCAACACTGGGCAGATGAGCAGATTCTCCAAGTGAGGGGTCTTTGTGTGACTGTTCTCCAGAGTCATTCACCACATCCAATTACCCTGAGTGCATTTCTGTTTGGATTTTTCTGGTTTTAGAGTTTTCTGAACAAGACCAGAACAGAAGGGAAGTTTTCAGGCAAGCTGTGGACCTGGTGCTGGCTGGTATTCACAGCAGCCAGCTTTGAGCTTCTGGAGTTAAACACCAGATGGTTCCAACCTTCGAGGAACCTTGCAACCTGCAAGGCACTACTATTTTTACTTGAGCCGACTTGATTTCCTCCTATAAAAAGAGAGGAGTGATGTGTTGGTTCCTGTGAGACAATCCAGACCATGCATTAGTCACTAGAAACTGTAAAAATGACCTGTAATAACTGGACTTCAGCTGATGCTGCCTGTTTGCTCAGCTCCAGGTGTCCTCTGCATCAGGCAGCTGTTGTTTCAGCTGCCCAGGTTATTTGGCAGAAGACCAGTTTGTGATTCATTTTTTAAGTTACTCAGAATAGCAACTTTGTGACCTTATTGGGGTATTCAGTTTTTAGGTTACTCATAGTAACAACTTACAGGGAAGAAAATTTCAAAATTTATTTTCTATCTGAGACAGTCCAGGTGCTTCCATATTCTCTGCTGTGTTTCCTTGTTTGAGAATGTTTGTCTCTCCTCTCATTGACAAACTGTTTTATTTCAGGTATCTGTTAATTAAAACTACAAGTGTTTGTAGTAGTTTGTCCTCTACAAGCAGGACTTCCTCTGAAACACTGACACTGTAGTGGAACCTGGAATGCCCAGGTGTGCTCTGTTTCTTTAGTCAGTTCTTTAAGGGAACCTTTCTTAAAATCTTGCAAGTATCACCCAGAGGGCATGAAACGAGTTTTCTTTCTCCATTTCCACTGTCAGTACAATATGAATTTTTTTAATTCACAGGAGAAAAGTTTAGTTTCATCCTCAGTAACCATTTAGTCGTTGGAAATTGTCTGGCATTAATGCATCAAGGAGGAAACACCTAAACCTCGGGATGAGTTTAGTGCTAAAATAAAAGAGGAGTTTCATTACAAATTGTAGTGCTCCATTATTTTATTAGTGACAAGAAACAGAGATTTCCACACTACCTAAAATTATTTTTCAAGCAGAAAAAGCTTTCTGTTATGAGAAAACTATTTCACTTCAAGCTTTAAAGCTTGAAGGAAGTTTTAAATAAACCTGAAGCTGTTTAATATGTAAGGAAATCAGTTGGATTGATGGGGTGACTTCAGTAAAAGCCAGAGCTGGCACATTCACTGAAGGGTTCATAATTCCTCCTTATGTTCATCTGCAATTTCAACCCTGTATTCCCATATCATAGCAGTCTCTAATGTAACTTGTTTGCTTTTCCTAGACTTCAGTAATGGTGGCACCTGTGGAAAGCACAGCAGACAATTTATAATGCATCTAATTTCTTGGTCTTCTCATTCTCTTTGAGGACTTCTCAATTTTGTATCCTCTGATAATTTTTAATAGAAATGGACTATACTCTGGCTTGCTCAGGTCATTCTTCATCTGATAAAACTTCTGGTATCTCTAGCATTTCATACCTTCAGTGCTAATAGTCCAGAACTGATCCCTGTGTCGGTCCATTCTCCAGCTTGTCTGAGTTGCATAGAAAAACCTAATTCTTCTTACACTTCATCAGAAATATTTTGTCCCACTTTATTAGTAATGAGGCAAAAGAGAATTGTGAAAAGTCTAAAACTCCAAATAGAAGAAATTCAAGAGCAGAGGATTCTGCAGCTTCACAGGAATCTGTAGAGAACGGCCAGCGCAAGAGGTCGTCCAGACCAGCCTCTGCCTCCAGCACTGCAAAAGGTAAAATGCACAGCCACCATTTTCCTGGAGAGGGCAGGAGGCACCTGCTTCCCAAATAATAACCCTTTCAATAACTGGCTCATAATGATGATTTAAAGCTTGTGAGTGTTGTGTGCTTAGATCTCGAGTTTCAATGATTTAGACCCAGGTTGGTGGTGAAGTGTCTCCTGACCCCTGCACTGGCGGTAAATCCGGGGTGAATTCCCCGCGGGTACTTTTGTGGACCTTGCTTTCTGCAGTGCTCCTCAACGTAGTGCTCAGCAAGCTGGCCCAGCTGGAGTTGAATTCTCTTGGCAGAAACGTCTTGCCATTAAAAGGACTGTCCTCAAGTAAAAAAGTGACTTTTTTTTTTTTTTTTTCTGAAGCCTGAAAGCCACAAGACAAATGCTTAAAGTCTTCCCAAATGCATCGTCAGCTCTGGTGAAGCCAAAGGCTGAGGTTCAGGCCTGCTCAGGACACTGCTGGGTGACCGAGAGCTGCTGTGTGCTACTGCACAGAGCCTCAGCTGCTCCTCCCTAGGACCTGGGAAGTCCTAAAGGGGCAGAGATTAACCTGTGCCATTAGCAGTTGCTGCTCCTTCCCACCCAGGTCACTCTAACAAAGTTTGCAGCATTGATGTGATGCACATGGTCAGTGCCAGAGGGCTCTGTGTGGTGGAGGGTGAGAAATGTTCTGTGGGCCAAAAGTTGTGGGAGAGGGTAGAGGGAGACTGTCAAAGGGCAGCATTTGACCAGTATTTTAAAGATAACCTACAGAACAAAGAGGTATTAATAGAAAATTATTCTAAAAGGAAGTCAAGTTGAATTCAGCAACCATTTTCCCTACTGGAGATAATGAAGTTTGCTGGTAAGAATGTTGGCATTTTAAAGAGTTTCAGAGAAGGCTTCTAGGCCTACCTAACTCTGAGAATTTACCTATATGTTCTGCACTTTTGTGGCTGCTGAATTTAATTAAATTTACTTCTTATGGCAGGTGTGTGCAGAAGAATCTAAGTCTGTATTGTAAAAATAAATTCTCTTTCATGATTGTGAAGACAAATTTGCAAAATGTGAAGCCATTGTAAAGTTGACTTGGTGATACCTTCCTGAATCTGAGGGGATCTGAACCGTGTGGCCTGCCCCACATACTGTAATGAATACACCTAAAGATGACAACCAGTGGTACCTCAAATTCTCAAAATGTGGGAACACGAGAGTACACATTTAAACAACACCAGAACTCACCTGGGGGTTTGGTACTGATTGTGTTACTCCTTTACCTCTGTAAGTAAAAGAATTGTTTTTAAAATGTCTGAAACTACCCCAGCATCAAAGGTTTTTGCTTAAGGACACAGGTCCAGCTTGCCGGGTAGTACCTGGGCTCTGGTTCCCTTGTCTTCATGCAGACAGCTGCCTGCTTCCAAGGTGTAGAGAAAAGGAGCAAAACGGGACTCTCCTGAGGAAGAGGATTAGTGAGGTGGCTGCAGAAGTGTAACTAGGTTTGCCACTTGTGCCTGCTCTGTTCTGTGCTGCTGTCAATGAATCAGAGCTGAAGAAACTTCTGTTTGCTCCTGACTTTCTCCTGGAAACCTACAGCTACATTATGTGTCCTGAGGAACCTGCTGACCTGTGGGAAAGGGAATGTGGGGCTGGGAGCAGACACCTTGGAGATAGTGGCTGATTAAGGGAGACGGAGATTTTGGTCAGTTGGTGTAGGAATCCCCTTGGTAAGCACCAGGAAAAAGGAGGCAGAAAGGGAAGGGCCAGAGGCCAGGCTGGAGGTCAGCCCTGCTGTAGGGCCACAGGGCTCTTGGCTGGGCAGGATGGGCTGGGTGCAGGGGAGGGGGATGTGCAGCTGCTCCCAAGGGACAGGGACCCACAGCTGCTGCCTGCTGACTCCTTGGCTCTCCCAGCACAGGCCAGGGCAGCAGGGGGGTGGCTGCAGCCTCTGCTGCTCAGGAGAAGCTTTGCTGCTTGGCAGGAGCTCCACTGACCACGTTGTGCCTGCTGAGATGTTTCACTTCTGTGAACTGGTGCTGTACTGGTTTTTGTTGCTTTTTTGTTTTTTTTGCTTTTTGGAGTACCTTTCCAGCAAGGGCTGTTTCAGTGTTTACTGTAGCTTCAGGTTTATTAAACTTTGAAATACTGGGGTTTTTTAACACAACATTGAGCATCCATGGAGACCTACTGATGCCTTTCTAGTGTTAGATGTCCTGGAATTTTTTTTCCCTTTTCATTCTTTACATGCACACAGCTCTACTAGCTTTTGGAAAATATTGTAAAGAGCCAAAGATCCATTGCCAACATTTAAAAGTCACATTTTTAAAAATTCTAAAGACACAAATACCCTTGGTCCTTACTCTCTTTGTTCTGAAACAACTTTGTGCCTTGGTAAGTGCACTGGAAATGTCATCTGCTTTCACTGGAGCTTCTGCAGGTGCTTCTGCCTCTGCTGTAGTGCTAGAGAATATTTTTTCTGCTTTTCTGTGAAACAGAATGTACACTGAAGAGACTTGTTTGCTAATGACCTGATTTTCCAAGGACTCAACTGGATTCTTTCCCTGTGTGGCAGGCTCCAAAGCATGTTCCTCAGTTTTTTTTATAGCACCCTCTCTGTGATGCTTGGGTCTAATTGCTGCAGTTGGTGCCAACACTGCACCTCACTGGGGTGTCCTTCTGTGGTGCTGCCCAGCACTTTGTGGCACCTGGGGGACTGAAGTGAAAGAAGAGTTAAAAATGCACAACTCTTCTTTTTAAGGCTGTTCTGTTAGGACTTGCTGAATGTTTCACTCACTCCAGTCAGAAGTTGTGTCCTAACAGAATCTGGGGGAGTGTTGTGTCCTGGCAGTGGTGTGACCTCTTGTGAAGAGCCAGTCCCCTCCTGTGGAAACCTTGCTCTTCAGAGCTTTCCACCCTGATGTAGTTTTGGAGAAAGAAAAGGGCCATCTGTGCCCCTCTGCTGAATGGCTTACGACTCCCTATCCATGCTTTTTTTCTTCTCTTGATTTCAGACACGAGTGCCAGTGCAATGCAGTCAAAAAGAAGAAAATCCAAGTAAATTACTGCATGGAAACATGAACCTTGTAAATGAGTGTGAATTTACCAATAGCAATTTTGAGCTGTGATTTTTCTTTTTTTAAATAAAAATTCTGTACAGTAAGTCATTTTAATATTATACTGTTCCAAATGAATGATTTTTTTTTTTTCTAAAAGACAGATAAATAGATATAAAAACTGGGTTCTTCTAAAACCCCCTGGATTTACTGAGTGAGGTCCAGGGTTAGCACATTAGGTTAATGTGTTTGTATGAAATGGAAGGGGAGGGGAAGACAATTGTAAATTTATTTGTTTCCACTTTTCATAAACAAATTAGAATACAGGGTTGTCATTTTTAGGTATTAAAATAATGTATTGTGCTGTTGTTTAAGTACTGTATGTGAATAGCAGTAAGAGGGTTTATAAACAAACCCGGTCTTGTTTGGAAATGTAAATAATTTTATTATATAGTAGATCTGATGTATTTGTTGTAGAAATGGACCAGTGAAACAGAAAAATAAATTTAAAGGGTTTGTATAATGTGGAATCCCTCATGCTCTAAATAAATGTTTTTGTCCTATAGTTTGGGTTGTATTATTGTTGTTAGCAACAACAGCATCATTCCAAAGAGGAAGATGGAAGGGATTATTTAGAGCTCTAGGCCTGCAAGCTCCTTATATGGAGCTTTAGAAGGGAATTTGTTTAACCACAAATGAATTAACTAATCAGCTGTTCTTGCAAAGCAAGAAGAAAACACCCAGGCCCCCCTGCCAGCTCTTGGGCTCCATGCAGTGAGTTCCTGGTGAGCAGACCCAGGGACAGATCTCCCCAAAACCAGGCTTTTCCCCAGGAAAACGTGGCAGAGGAAAATGCCACCTGAAATGGTTTGAAGACTCTGCCGTGGCCACCTGGAGTTCCTGCTCTGGGTCACTGCACAGCAGGGCATCCATGTGGGCCTGGGTGTGCTGCTGGGGAAAGGAGGTCACCTCCTTGTTCCTGGGATCTCTCAGGGTGAGAAACTATCAGACTGCACATTGCTTTGGGCACACATGGGTACTTACACCCTCCTTTTTTTACAGAATTAAAAAACCTGTATATCAAATGGCTATTTAAATACAGGTTGTGATTAATTATCAATTCTGTGGGCTGGCAGCCCAGAAACCAACCACGTCCCGGGCTGCATCCCTGGCAGCAGGAAAGGGAGGAGATTCTCCCCCTCTGCTGAGACTCCCCTGCAGGGCTGGGTCCAGCTCCGGGGTCCCCAAGAAGACATGGAGCTGTTGGAGAGAGTCCAGAGGAGATGATGGGAGGGCTGGAGCAGCTCTGCTCTGGAGACAGGCTGGGAGAGTTGGGAAGGTCTGGGGAGCTGGATGAAGGAGCTGGATGAAGTCCACAAAGCTGGAAGGTCACCTTCACAGGTAGGGTCCAGGTATCAACAAACCAGGGGAAGAAAGGGCAGGTACTGGGGCTTGTGGAAAATGTGACGTTGAGGAGGGAGCGGATGAGCTGGAGGGCAGGGTCACTGTGTGCAGGGATGTGGACAAAGGCAAGAAAAGGAAAGGACAAAGGCAAGGTCCTTCCCGTACAGCTGGGAAGGAGCCTTGGAAGGAGCCAGGGACCCTTGTACTGGGGCTGGGCTGGGGTCAAAGCCCTCAGGAGAGCAAAGCTGAACCTGGCTTCACACAGAGGAGAGCTCTGGGCTGTGCCAGCAGAAGGGCAGCCAGTGGCTGAGGAAGTCATTGTTCCCTTTTCCTTGGCACTTGGTAGACCACATCTGGAATATTATAATCTGGTTTCCACACCCCCACCCCCTCCAGACACACAAGAGGACCTCAGGCATCCCACAGCCAACAGGTGAGCAGGTGGGTGGGCAGAACCTGTTGGGCTGTTGTGTGGCTGCAGCTCCTGGGGACCCACCTGTCCCGGGGTGATCAGCCTCCCCCTCAGCTCCAGCAGCTGCTGACTCCTGGGGTTTGGGGATGGGGAGAGGAGAAAAAAAACAAACCCTCAAATGACTCCACCTGCCCTGGCCCATCCCCTCCCCTGGGCACACTGATCTTCAGAGGGGGCTTTTTTCTCTGGCAGTGACAGCATTGATCTCAAAAGCTTATTTAAAAAACTAAAGGTTTTTGCAAACAGGTTCACCTGGAGGCCTGAGAGGAAGGCACATAAACCAGTTTAAATAGATCTTATTTTTATTTCTTTTGTGGGTTTTGTTTTGTTTTGTTTATTTTTATTGTGGTGTTTTTTTTTCCCTTTATATTAGTGTGGTGGGGTTTTTTTTCAGTTAAAAGACAGCATTACAACCCAACAACCAAACCCAGGTCACACACACACCCCACATAACATATCCCAGGCAGTCGTGCCCTTCAGGCTGTTGCCACAGCAGATGTTTGAGCCACTTCCCAGGAGAAGCAGCCGCCCTGCCCTGCTCCCCCTGCTCACACCCCTGAACACGTAACACACAGAAAGGACATATGTTGTTAGCTTGGAGATTCAGATGAGGTTTCAATCCTAGAGAAAAGGTGATGTAAAAAATGTGGGGCTTGTTTCCCCTCCCCAAGATCCGGGTGGTTCAGTTGTCCCATTGTCCCATTGTCACCTGGAGCTGCTGTGTGGGCACCTCTGCACCCAGCTGGGCATATCAGAGGCTGCTGGGACAAGAAGCTGCTCCAGGACATTTTAGGGAAGGCTAAAGGCAACTTTTCCAACCCAGTAGCTCTTTCTCTTCCTTTTCCTTGAAGGAAACACTGGCTATGGACATGCTGCCCATCCTGGCAAAGATCTGCTGCTGCTGCTCAGTCCCTTTGCACTAACCAGAGAGGAACTGGGGGGCGAGGCTGAGCTTTTCAAAGAAGTTTAGCATCTAAAATGTTAAATAATTTTTAGCTAAAATAATTTAAAAAAAAAAAAAGCTAAATGCTTTTCAGTTGTCTACTTTGAAAATAACACAGAACACAGAAACACCAAGAAGTGACTCTCCAGTCAGCTCTTGCATAGGACTTTTAGCCACAGTTCAATCAGTGATTGATTCAAGTTCTGCAGTTGTGTTGAAAGAACAGATGACAAACCATGACCAAGGGTGAAAGGCACATGTAGAGTCAGTCCAGCACGGAGGTGGATGATGCACCTGGTGTCTGGCCAGCCCAACACTTGGGGTGATACAACTAGAATATTGCAGTGCTCAGTGCCTCCCTACAGACACACTTATTACACAAAAGAACACATCACTATTTTACTGCAGCCCTTCTGCTCTTCCCTTAGCCCCAGATTGCCCCAAATGTGTCGATCCAAAGCTGAGGGCAGGAGCTCAGTGAGACTTGGGATCCCAACTGCCCTGGATACACAAGGTGAATTTGAAGCACAGGAGCAGCTCAGGGCTCCCCTGGGAAGCTCCTTTTTAATTTACTGGGCTGATGTCCCCTCTCTATTTGTGGGTGTGCTGATGCTCTGGAGTAGGTGGAATCATCCCTCTCGCAGAGCTTTGCTCTTGCTCAGGGTGTGGGGCTGGGAAATCAACCCCCCAGCAGGCAGGGTCAGCTCCTGGTGAGTGCCAGGGGAGGCACCTGTGTCACCTCTCTGTACAAAAAAAAAAAAAAGGTCCTTTTTGAAATTCAAAAAAGGACCACAAATAAGAGCATCTTTGTTATTACATTGAAATGCTCATCTTGATCATCCTCAGCCTTCTAAGTGAAGAGCTGTGGGTTTGGTTAACCATAGAACCATAGAATGGTTTGGGTTGGAAGGGACCTTAAAGATCATCTAGTTCCAACCCCCTGCATGGGCAGGGACACCTCCCACCAGCCCAGGTTGCTCAAGACTGCATCCAACCTGGTCTTGAAGACCTCCAGGGAGGGGTTAATGACATGGATCTCTTTGAAGCAGCAAAAGGAAAGGCTGTTTGATGAATGGCATGAAAGGGGAGGCTGTGGGGAGACCCCCTGCACAAGCTGGTCTGATGGTGACTGAGAGGATGGATGGTCCTCTCTGGGGTGGAGAGGCCATGAGTGTGCTGGGTGTCTGTCCTCAGGCCCTGGTCCCTGCCAGCAGCTGTGCTGAGCAAGTCACCAGCCCTAGTCCTGTGCTGGAGAAGGACATGGAGGAATCTCTGAGGCCTGGGGGGACATGCTGGGCTGCCTGTGGGTCCCTCCTGCTGCCAGCAGGTCTTTCTGAGTGTGGACAGCAAAGGAGGTGCAGCCAACTGGAGGCACCCCTGGGCCTCCTGTGGACGGGGTGGCTGTTGAGAGTCCCCAGTGGCTGGAGAGTCACCCTGGCACCAGCTGGTCACAAGTGGCCTCTTGTTTTAAACCCAGACACTAGGGGAAGACTCGGGGGCTGCCACGGCCCCAGCACAAGGGGACAGGGCTCAGTGCTGCCTTCTGCCAAGCACCAACAGGCAGATGTTGAGAACCATTTTCCTTGAGGTGTCCCATCACTTTTTACTGCCCATTTTCTAATTCTGACACGATTTAATCTTTGGGGACTTGCTTTTTTTTCAAGAAATTCACCTGAAATTTAATTTCCACTTTATGAAGGGCACTGGAACTGACATTTATCCTTCCTAGAAGTGACTGCAAAGCTGTGTCATTCAAGTCTAGAACCTCACTGGAGTATTTTTTCATCTTTTTTTGTTTGGTGGATGGTCTTTTGTTTTGTTTTTTTTTCTGACTAGTATGACAAGACATCTACAAGGTTGGGGTTTTTTTAACTCCCCAGTGGGACTGGATGAAGAGGAAGAGGTGTCAGTAAGAAGTACATGTAAAATGATCTAGTGCTGAGAATCATGCCTAAATGAGGAGTGAGGCTGGCCATGGCCTTGATCTTTGGAATGCGTTCATGTTATCCATCACGAGAAAGAAAAGCTGACCCCCACGGAAAGAATAATTTTCCTTCCAGATGGAGCTTCTACATCTGAGATTTTTTGAAAGCTCATGTGTGGGTGCAGGTTTCTGAGCCTCAGGTGACAAGGGCTCTAGCCCTGGCAGCAGTGCAGCTGTGCCTCCAGCCCTGCAGTGCAGCCAGAGCCAAACGGGGGTGAAAAGACAGTTGCTGTGGCTGCTGGTGAGGTGTCCCTGCATCTGCTGTGGCCGGGCCATGGCCACCAGATGGGCCTGACATGGGGCAGCAAACAGGGCCAGGTGGGGGGACCTGCTCCTGGAGGTGGGTTGCACGGGGGCACAGATTACACATGTAATCTGGCTTCCATCCCGAGGTGGCCCCTGTCCAGGAGGGCTGCTCTCCTGCTCTCCTGGTGGCTGCCAGAGCCTCCACACTGTTCAGCAGCTCCTCCATGGAGCCAGACTGCCCACACCCAAAGAAGGTAACTGAGATGCAAAGCCCTCATGCCTTGCTTAGAGAT